CCCCAAAACCCCAAAACCCCAAAACCCCAAAACCCCTTTATTCTTCTAAATATTTGAGTTTATAAAATTACCGTAATCAGCATGTATTCGCTTAGAGAGAGTATACGGGAGTGTACCAAGCCAGACGCTAATGAGTTCATTGTGTTCCCCAAAGTAAGGATTCTAAAGCATACTGAGCTCAGCCTTCGTTATATTTTATACCTTTACCTCGACCTCATTATGAATTAAAGGACAATAAGCTGGCCATTTTGATTCAGCATGTCCTTCAGCATTAAAAATAGGATCTTCTGGCCAAGTTATTTCCCTCTGGCTAATCATGTTGCTTTAGATCCGCCATTCGAATTCCAAAAACCATCGAGGCATGAAGCTAAACAAGAGCTTGAAGCGTGAATGTAAGGGATTTTTTGAAAAATTTCTTACTTAATTCTAATAATTCATAGCTATATCCAAATAAACTGAAGTTAAAGGCTCAGCTTTATGAAAGAGGTTCTGCCTCTAAAAGTCTTCGAAAAGTGAGTATTTCCTTGCTAATGGCATAGCATAAAGGAACTGATCTAGCTCAAGAGGTTCAAACCAGTAGAAATAATTACTTAAATACACTGAAAATGCCATATAAGCACTCGGGTATTTACCAGAGCACTGAAACTCTTGTAAGGAAATCGCATGATCATGTAGAAGACTTACACTACTATCCCGAATTTCGATGCCCGCAGGAGTAAGTCTGAGCAGCCTAAAACTGTGATGTTACCATTATTTTGCCTTTATGTGATTATGTCTGTGTAGATAGCCCTCTATCTATCTCTTACATCTTAATTTTTACTATGGACTCAATAAGTTAGTCCTCAAACTTGAAATAGAACTATGAGATGCTGTCTAGAAGCAACTTTAATTTTTATCCCTAAGATTTTATAAAGATAAACTTCTTATTTGTACTGAGAGATTAGTCTTTGACACTGTATGATTTATATGATTAGTTTGATACAAAATTAATCGGCACAGATTTTCCTCATTCAGAGAGAAAATAGCATTTCAATTAGATGAGTAATCTCTACATGTACATTTGTTTGCTTAGTTTTGGTATAAATTAGTTAGAATTCTGTATATAAGGTCTCAAGATCAATTAATAGTCGGTTCGAACTGAGTGATTCTCAAAAAAAATAAATGCCAATATCTAAAAGAAAATTTGCCCTAAAAATCTAACTTTTCAACTAAAACTTCTTCAGACTCGCATATGAAATACTGGTCACCAGGAAGGTCAGAGAGTGGGCATGCCTCTCCAGTGGCATTGCAAGGGCCACTTGGTCTGAGTGGGATTCAAAGTAATCGCACAGGCTCTAAACTAGGCTCACTTATAAATAACAGTAAAATATTGACTTCCCAGACTGAGCTAAAGGCTGCCACTAGCACACGGTAAATTATAATCAAACCTGTAGAAGTACAAGCTTGATGGAGAACCTCAGGAAGAAGATCAAGAAGCATGCCAAGGAGTATGATACTAACCTGATCAGTAAGAGTAAGTCTCTATACCAAATTTCTCCATGTCCATTTTCGGATATTTTAGCAAGTTTAATTCTTCAGAGATAAACTTTATACCATAGAGATGAACAACGTCAGTATTCAACTACCTGATTTGTCAATACAAGGGTTCAGCGATGGTCCCCATGCCAATGATCAGGATAAGTAAGGCCAGTAGTATTAAAAATTTAGGGAGAACAAACCAAAATTGGCCAAAGGAAAACCTCCAAAATTAAAGTAATTCATTAATTTTAAATTATTAGCATAATCAAGGAAGAAATCAAAGAAGAGATTCGAAGGTACACATCTTGGTATTAACACTATAGGCCACTCCGGAGGTCTCGGAATGCTTCTAAAACTACAAGACTCAAGGTAAGCCCAAGGTTGAGATTTGTAGAAACAGTCACAAACACTTCCTGAGAACAGGATGGATGACTCCACGAGTGAGGCCTACTCCGAAGCCTATTCTGAAGATTTCTCTGAAAACGATCTTTACTCCTCAAGTTTTTACGATAACGATAAGACCAGGGAGAAGGAAGCGCTGTATAAAGCTGGTTCAAAGAATTATAAAGAGTATATCAAGGAAATAGAACGATCAAACATTCTTCCAAGGAAGATGGGATTTCAAGGGGAAAATGAAAAGAAGGGCAATATGTTCCTCCGATCCTTCTACATTGGTAATACATACGCCAACCCATTGTCCAAAGGAATTAAGGGTAAGCTCTGAGCTATATTTAGATCTTGACACTCTCCAGAAGATAAACCTCAGTCGATGAGGGTTGAAGGATGAAGGATTCATCAAAATTATCCAAAATGCACCTTATAGCTTACAGGAATTGGACATCTCTGGTAACTCAAATTTTGGCATAAAGTGATACGAAGAACTGGCAAAAATAGTAAGCAAAAGAGACATTGAGTAAGCCTATTCCCTGATTTTCAGACTCGTCTCTCTGAATATGGAGAATAACAAAGCGGGTGACACAGCTATCAAGATTATCATGGACTCCTTGATCTACAATGGTAGCTTGAAATGACTCAATATTAAGTAATCCAATGCTAAGCTTTAGCAAAAACTGTATCACTGATCTTGGCGCTCAATACATCACTGAAATGGTCCAATGAAACTCCTCAATCTCTGTCTTACTAATGAACTGGAATAAGATACTCAGCAAGGGAGGTGTCTCGGTCTGTACTGCTGTTGGTCAGAATAAGAATATTCAAGTATTCGATATCTCGTTCAACAATATTGGGTCCAAAAATGGCACCAAAATGGCTGAGACCTTTAAGAAACTATTCTTGGAGAATAAGACTCTGATCCATCTCGACATTTCACACTGAAAGTTTACCATTGACGAGCTCAAAATTATGAGTAAGTAGTCAACATCTGAATTATAGATGAAGGACTCAAGAGGAATCACTCAATTTTAGGCCTGCATATGGTTGGCAATAAGGGGAAAATTGACACTCTCGGGTTTATTGACCCTGAAGTAGACTCTGATATAGCAATCACTCACATATCTTCACGACTTTCATCAGAGTTACAGACAGGAAAAGTAAAATAACAAAGAGAAAATCAAGCTGAGCGCTTGCTCTAATTGATGGATCTGTGAAGGATGGACAGAAGTCAAATTTGAATTCACGCCTGGGATCTCCTCCCAAGTCCCTCATGATCCTGAGAAGCCATTGTATCTACATATCTCCTCTGATGGGTACAAGGAGGATCTCATGCTTCCTGATCCTGAAAAGTCAGGGACTTACAGCTCTCTCAGGATGGTGCCTCCCGGAGAATGTACCTTCTACTTCAGTTTTGATGAGAAAAAATTATTAGCCGATGATATGCCTAATTGAGTAACTACTGAAATCGAAAATTTTACTGTCCCAAAGACAAATATTATCGAAAATATCATCCAGAAGAATGCCCTGATCACTGAGACCTATATGGCCAGCATGAAGTGCACTCCTAGGCCTCCTCCGAAGTACATGGCTGGCAACAAGAGGCTTAAGACTCCTTGGGATTATTTCAAATCCGTCTTTAGAACCTACAAACCTGATAACCAGAAGATCCTGAACGGATGCTTCGAGGTTGACTGGGACAACACTAAGATTGGCAAGATCATTAAGAACGGAGATGAGCTAGTCAAAGTAAAGAGATACCTTAAAAAGAACTACAAGAGCTTCAGAGAAACCTATAAGTATTACTCTGCTGTGGCTCCAATCGGGATCGTTGTCTCCATCGGAACCAACACTCTCAGTGATGTCGTCAGCAACTGCCATGAGGTGATCAATAATGAAAATTTTAAGCTAAGTGATCTTGATTTTGAATTCGTTGCGACAAAGGCAGGTCTCATCAAGTCTAAATTTAACCCTGACAGGCAGCTGGTCAGGCATGAATTCATTGAGATTTTTGTAAGAATCGCCATAACGAAATACTTCAAGAGTAAATTAGTTGATAGTATCTCTGAAGCGGTCATAAAACTTTATGAAGAGAACCTCAAACCGATGTTTTCACTATTTGACTGCCACAAATGGAGGGCCCAGAAGTTGTGGAATGAGGAATGAGACCTTACTTTGAAAAGACACTTGAATGTCTTAAATAACATCTACAAGAAATATATAGGCAGATATGCCCTCCCTGGGACTCCCAAGTACATGTCCTGAGACGAGTTCTTTGACCTTATATGAGCCTGCGGAGTTGTCGATGACAATTTTGGTCAAAGAGAAATCAGCGTACTCTTTAACCTTGCTATGATGACGCAGAAGAATGAGCTTGAAAGTGATAAGCATCTTAACATGATATTTGTGGAATTCATGGAAGCTACAGCTCGAGTCGCTGATAAGTTAAACCTTCCTCCTTTGGTAGACGAAAGCGAAGAGAGGGACCCTAACGAGCGGCTACATGCCAACCTTTCCCGAAGAATAAAGAAGCCTTATCCAGGTCTCAGCTTAAACTACAAAATTGAAACCTTGATTTATTTGATGGCAAAATCTTGACTGAAGAAAAACGACTTAGAGGCCATGGAGAGAGGAGTGCTCAAATATTATGATGAGAAGAAGAGACTACCAAAAGCTAAGAAATACGGAATCTCGAGTAAAAAGTATTAATCCAGATTCAATAGCCTGGTTTATATTGGGGTTTTGGGGTTTTGGGGTTTTGGGGTTTTGGGGTTTTGGGGTTTTGGGGTTTTGG